TCACATTCAGGTCCTTTATCCATTTTGAGTTTATTTTTGTGAATGGTATGAGGAAGTGGTCTAGTTTCAACCTTCTGCATGTTGCTGTCCAGTTGTCCCAGCACCATTTGTTAAAGAGACTGTCTTTTTTCCACTGGATGTTCTTTCCTGCTTTGTCAAAGATGAGTTGGCCATACATTTGTGGGTCTAGTTCTGGGGTTTCTATTCTATTCCATTGGTCTATGTGTCTGTTTTTGTGCCAATACCATGCTGTCTTGATGATGACAGCTTTGTAGTAGAGGCTGAAGTCTGGGATTGTGATGCCTCCTGCTTTGGTCTTCTTCTTCAAAATTGCTTTGGCTATTCGGGGCCTTTTGTGGTTCCATATGAATTTTAGGATTGCTTGTTCTAGTTTCGAGAAGAATGCTGGTGCAATTACAAAATCCTTTAATCAGCAAACAGAAACAATTTTACTTCTTCCTTTCCTATTTGGATACATTTTATTTCTTTATCTTGACTGATGGCTCTAGCTAGGATTTGTAGTACTATTTTGAATAGGAGTGGTGAGAGTAGGCTGGCTTATCTTGTTCCTAATCTCAAAGGGAAAGCTTTCAACATTTTACCATGGATCATGATGTTAGGTGTGGGCTTGTCATATATGGCCTTTATTATATTGAGGTATGTGTCTTCTATACCCACATTGTTGAAAGTTTTTATCATGAAAGGACATTGAATTTTGTCTGATGGCTTTTGGGATGATCATGTTTTTTATTTTTTATTCTGTTCATGTGATGTATGCCATTTATTGATTTGTGTATGTTGAACCATCCTTCCCTCCCAGGGATAAATCCCACTTGATCATAGTGTACGATCCTTTTAAAGTGTTATTGAATTTGATTTGCTAGTATGATGTTGAGAATTTTTTGCATCTCTATTCATCGGGATTTTGGTTTATAATTTCTTTTCTTGTGTTCTTTTTTTTTTTTTAATTTTTTTTTTAACGTTTATTATTTTTGGGACAGAGAGAGACAGAGCATGAACGGGGGAGGGGCAGAGAGAGAGGGAGACACAGAATCGGAAACAGGCTCCAGGCTCCGAGCCATCAGCCCAGAGCCTGACGCGGGGCTCGAACTCACGGAGCGCGAGATCGTGACCTGGCTGAAGTCGGACGCTTAACCGACTGCGCCACCCAGGCGCCCCATCTTTTCTTGTGTTCTTATTTGGATTTAGTTTTGGGTATTCTGGCCTTGTAAAATTTGTTTGGGATTGTTCCCATCCCCTTTAGATTTTTGGAAGAATTTGAGAAGGATTGGCATTAATTCTTTAAATGTTTAGTAGAATTCACCCATGAAACTATCTGATCCAGCACTTTTATTTGGTGGGGGGTTTTGGATTACAGATTCAGTGCCCTTACATGTTATTAGTAAGTTCAGATTTTTTAATTTCTTTATGTTTTGTTGATAGTTTTTATTGCGGAAAAATATTTCATTGTCTGGATATACCACAATGTTTATCCATTCACCTTTAATAGGGATACGTTGGTTGCCTTCAGTTTTTGGCAACTATGAATAAAGCTGCTATAAACATTCATATGTGGGTTTTTGTGTGGACATACGTTTTCAACTAGCTGGGTATATACCTAGGAGCACAATTCCTCAATCATATCATAGTAAGGCTATGTTTTGCTTTGTAAGAAACTGCCAACCATCTTCCAAAGTGGCTGTACCATTTTTGCATTTCCATCAGCAATGAATGAAATTTCTTTTTCCATATCCTCAGCAGCAAGTACTTGTTATTGTCAGTGTTTTGGATTTTAGCCATTTTAATAGCCAATAGTATCTCATTGTTTTTTTTCATTTGCAATTCCCTAGTGATACAATATTGAACATCTTTTTAATATGATTATTTGTCTGTCATCTTTTTATCTTCTTTGGAGAGGTCTATATTCAGATCTTTTGCCCACGTTTTAAGTGGGTCCTTATTTTTTTAAACATAATTTCCTTTCATTCTTTTAATATATTTATAATAGCTACTTTACATTCTTAGTTTACAAAATCTAGGAACTGGGCCCTCTCAAAGACATTTTCTGTTGGTTGCTTTTTAAAAATAGTTCCTGTTTTTAATTTTAAACCTGGCTTTCTCTGATTACCCCCTTTAGTCAGTATAAATTAGTGGCCAGCCAGTGATGGGTCAGTGAGCTCCTTAAATGCTGTGAACCATTAAGTTTTCTACTTTTTGCAAAGGAAATCTTTGTGTGAAGGTATACCTCAAACTTCTGGAAGCTTTTAAATCAGCCTTATCTTTCACTTATTACCTCTAAAATAGGCCAGAATTGAGCAAATGGGGCCTTCCCCTGTACAGTTTCTTTCCTGGCCAGTTTCACACCCCTGTACTTTTACACGTACTTCTAGATCCCCAAGAATATGTTAGAATCTTTCAAAGTTCCGTATGGTTATCTAGATCTTCCTTTTAGATTTTTAGCCAGGCTCTAGTTTCCCCCAAACTGAAATCATAGCCTTAGGCATCTGTAATGCCTTGGGGACTGGGCTTTTTTCACAGACCTGAGTTCTGAATTAAATCAAATGATAACAATACCCTGAGAATGGGGATTTTCTAGGGAGCTGCTAGTCTGGTTAAAATATTGACTGTGTTCTGGGGATGGGGATTTTAGTGAAGCTCCAGAAGATCCTTTGGCTGTGTTAATGCAGGCTTTCATGGCTACCATACCTCTGAGCTTGGGAGGGAGGGATGATGAGAATAGTCTCATGTTAAAACTTCACAGAGTCTGATGTCCTATTGAGATTCATTAGTTTTAGTTGTATCTCTGCTTTTCAGTTCGTTCTGTGCCTTTGGTTCATTTCCAGTGTTCTGAACTTGTATTTTTTAAAATTCTTTGCCAATATTTTGTTTTTACAGGGGAGTGGGCTCACTGAAGTCTTGAGTTTGCTGTTCCAGACAGTAATTTCTTGCTATCTCTAATTTCAAAAGAAAAACAGTGTCTCTCTGAGACATTGCTTCAATATTTATTATGTAGACAGATTGTGCTTTATAAATGATAGATAAAACATGAGCACTTTTTCTTCTTGCAGAAACTTTTAAGCATACATTTGGGACAATTACATTTTTTCTTTTTTAGGTTCCTATTAGTTCTGATTCTACAGACCCATCCGATAATATTGAGGTACAGTCTTTGACATGTCAGAGAGAATGCAGTAAAACTGTGAACACCGAAGCCTTAATGACAGTATTTCACCCTCAGAATTTGGAGAATCTTAATTCCAAAATGGTAGGAAAACAAAATACTAAAATCTATGGACTGAAACAGTTTATCAAAAATAAAAATCTTAGAGCAGACTAGAAGGTACCACAACTGAAATCTTCTTTTGGTGCTTGATAAGGTTTTCCAGCAGGTACTACTGTGTGACTTATTTCATTCCATCACATAAAAATGCTATTTTCAAAAAAAAAAAGGGCTATTAACAAGAATTAAGATAAACGATGAAAATTGAACATCATGTTTTATATGCATAGATTGCCAATAATTCTAAAATTGAGGTGAGTGGGGGAGAATAATGGTTCAAAGTTTTACCTCTGAAGTGTAATGCTTTTCCCGTTTTTATATGAGTTTAGGTAAGAATTAAAATAGTAAAATACATCTATTAGACTCACGTGGATTTGAAAGATTTGTGAACAGTGCTCCAGTGTTTGGCCTCTCTGTGAATACTGATTTTGACTTTCTCTGTTCTTGATTTCCACGGGTATTACTTCACAGTGAAGAGAGTTTTCAAGTTATTTGAAAGAAGTTCATTTGTCACCATGTTTAGTTGCTTTGATTTTTTGTTACAGTTGAAAGAAAAAATGAAGGAACAGTCATGGAACATCCTGTTTACAGAATGTGGGCGTGGGGTTAGCATGTTTCGGACCAAAAAGACTCGAGATCTGGTTGTAAGAGGGATTCCAGAGACCTTAAGAGGAGAGCTGTGGATGCTTTTTTCAGGTATTTATTCACTTTACTAACAGATACTAGCCATGCCCCTTCTAGGAGTTATGCACTAAGTAAAAACAATTACAAAGATGGCTAGAACAAACTTTTATTCATGAGTTCAGACTAGTCAAAGAGAATAAGGTAGTTATGTGTACTTACTTATATATCCACACATCCATTGTCTGAGCAAATTAGTTTATTAGGCAAGATATGGCTAATTGGTAATATCTCTAGCTCTAGTGTCAAAGGAAAGTTAAGGGAAAAAAACAGTTTATGAAAATTCTGTTGGATAAAATTGGTGTCCTGGGGGTGGTGCCTGGGTAGGTCAGTCCGTTAAGTGTCCTCTCAGGTCAGGATCTCACAGTTTGTGAGATCGATCCCCGCTTTGGGCTCTGCACGGACTTTGGATTCTGTCTCCCTCACATCCTCCTCTCAAAAATAAATAAATATATTTTTTAAATTGGTGTCCTGATGTTATATTCTAGTGAAGCCTTTTCTTTTGTTTGTACTAGGATATTAATTGAGTATAAAGCTAAATTTAAAGGTTATCCAGTTCTTTATGTATATATGCAAGTGTTGGCCTTATTACATTCCTCTTCTTTTGTATGTTAATGCAGTCGTCTTTACAGGTGCTGTTAATGAAATGGCTGCTAATCCTGGCTATTATGCTGAAGTGGTTGAGCAGTCCTTAGGGACCTGCAATTTGGCTACTGAAGAAATTGAACGTGATTTGCGTCGCTCCCTGCCTGAACACCCAGCCTTTCAGAGTGACACTGGCATATCTGCTCTGAGGCGGGTACTCACTGCTTATGCATACAGGAATCCCAAAATTGGATACTGCCAGGTATGACTTCAGTATGAGCCCATCTGTGTACATATTCCAAATGGTAAAATCATATCAAATATAGCTCTATTTGAAAATTGTGATAAGAAAGGTTGGGCTGAGATTGATAAGGGCTTATTTTTAATCTAAGTAGATGGTAATGGGAATACTTAAGAGAGTTGATATTTCATTACTTCATTTTTCTTTTACATTTAACAAGTGTTTATTGCATTCCTGCTCAGTAAAAGATACTGTGCTAGGTGCTTAAGACTATATAAAGATGAATCCTATAAGGATCCTGCCCTTGAAAGTATACGAACGAGTAAGTATTAAAACATATTCATTGGCAAATAAAAAGCAAGTGGGACAAACTATTAAAGAAATGTAAAGTTCTATCAGGATTTATCATAGGGATAAATTATTTTCATCTGGAGGAATCCGAGAAGACTTCATGGAAGAGGTAGCATTTGTAGGTCTTGATAATTGGTGAATTTTGGATGTATGGAGCTGGAATGAAAGAATGTTCCAGGTAGAAGCATCAGTGTAACCAAACACAGATAGAGGTAAACATAGAATGTATGTAGAACCATGTTTTGTTTCTTAGAAATGTAGGGTGAATGAAGCTAAGTAGATAGAGGAAAAATATCAGGTAGATTGGGAGAGGTCAGGAGTTTGAATTTTATTTTGTAGACAGTGGGGGAATCATTGAAAAAAATCCTTTAGGAGCACACTATATTAACTAGGGATGCTAGACTGCTAACACAAATAACCTCAAATAGGTAATAGCTTAAACACAATAGAAGTTTTCTCAAAGGAATAAACAGAAGAGCAAGTATTTAAGTCAGTAGGCAGCTCTCGTTCATGAGATTATTCAGGGCCTTAGGCTGAAGCACTCCCTGTCATCTTCAAAACATGGCTTCCAAGATGCTCTTTCATTGCCATTACCATTCACAGGAAACCGGAGAGAGCATGGAGAAACAATTATAGATTTTATTGGCTAGTAGGCCTAGAATGTGCATACATCACTTCACATTCTGTTGGAAGGTCTTAGTCTTCTGGCCACACCTGTTTACAAAGAAGTCTGCAAAATATAGTGTGACTGAGCATATATATATCCAGATACTATGGAAGAAGGGAGACTGGATTGTGGTGGATAGCTAGCACTATCAGCCACATATTCCTTTATAGTGGGCTGAGCACTTATAATGATTATGTATCAATTCTATCCATTAAATCTTATCAATAGAGAATTTTTTTGAAAAACAATTTAAGTGAATGGATCACCTAAATTACAATATTTAGCGTATTTTAGGATCTCTGAGAGGTAAAAAAAAAAAAAACAAAAAAAAACAAGTGTGGCACTTCTTTTCTCAAAGAACTTATACTCACAGAGTCCGCAATGTTATCTATATATAGTAGTGTAGAGGCACCTTCAAAGTAGGTGGCACATGCTTTTGACTTCTGAAAGATGAGAGCAAAGTTAGAAACGTGGAGGGCACAAGGAAAGTTATTCTGAGTTAAAGTAACAATATGAGCGATACCATTCATGTGAGAATAAGCCTACCACGAAGATCAGTCTGGCTAGATTTATGTTAGAATCAAGAAGTAAATAAGTTTGTGTAGGACAAAATCATGGAGAATCTTTCAAGCCAAGAAAAAGTCTGAATTTAATAAGCAGGTTTTATTGCTTTTGATCAAAAAGCCATGTGAACTGTACTGACTCATTATGGCTGATGGGACTAGTTGAGGAAGTTCTTATATATTCCTAGGTTGAATGTTTTTATCATAAAAGGGTGTTGGATTTTGTCAAACCATTTTTCTTTGTCTATTGAGATAATCATGTGGTTTTTTACTTTTATTCTGTTAATGTCCTGTATTACATTGATGTATTTTCATATGTTGACCCTCCTTGTATTTCCAAGATAAATCTCCCTGGGTCTTGGCTCTATAATCCTTTTTATGTGTTATTAGGTTCAGTTTGCTAGTATTTTGCTTAGTATTTTTACATTTATATTCATAAAATAAAATGATATCTGGTTAAGATACCTCTTTGGTTTTAGTATCAGGGCCTCATAGAATAAGGTGGGTAGTATTTCTTCCTCTCCTATTTTTTTGAAGAGTTATAAGGGATTGATGTTAATTCTTCTTTAAATGTTTGGTAGAATTTGCTAGAGAAGCTATCTGTTCCTAGAGTCTTCTTTGCAGGAAATTATGTCATTACTAATTCAGTCACTACTTCTTATAGGTCTATTCAGATTTTTCTCTTTCTCCTTGAGTTGGTCTCAGTAGTTTGTGTTTTTCTAGGAATTAACCATTTTATATCTAGGTTATCTCATTAACCATTTTATATCTAGGTTATCTCATTTGTTAGCATATTCCCTTAGAATCCTTTTTATTTCTGTTAAGATTGGTAGTACTGTTCTCTGTTTCTTGATTTTAATAATTTGAGTCCTTTCTCTGTTTTTTATCTTTTTGGTTAGGCTACCTAAAGGTATTTCAGGGTTTGTTTGTTTCAATTTTTAAAAATCTTTTCAAAGAACCAACTTTTGGTTTTGTTGATTTTTCCCTATTTTTTCTATTCTCTATCACATCCTACTTGTGTAGAACTTCAAGATTAACCAGAGGTGAGAGCTTAGGGCCTTTTCTGTTCTTTCCTGAGCATACACACAGCTCTGGGCATGCATAAAGCCATATCGTGCACATGGCCTTCTAGATTCCCAGGAATTTCTCAGAGCCTTACAAAGCCCCCTATGGGTATCTCATTCCCCAGTTTTTTCATTTTGACCCTTTATTAGCCTATTATTTGACCCAACTTTTATCCACTGCCTCAGCAAGCCGCATGTTCAACAACTGCCTCCAATTGTTTTCAACAAACACACTGAAACGCTGGGAACGCTGTGTCAGGTCAAGTAAACACAGCCTTGTGAGTGGAGTCTTCATGTGGAAACCACCAGACAGGCCAAATAATGACAATTATGTGAAAATGGGGCTCTGAAGGAGCTCCAGCCCTGCCTGGTCCCTGCAGTGGCTGCTAGGTGTTTTTACTATAATTGCTGGAGTGTTGGTTTTTAAGGCTAATGTGAAGCTGAGGAGGAGGTATGTGTATCAGGCAATTTAAAATGCCACAGAGCTCACTGTTTTTACTGAGATTCAGCCATTTTATTAAATAAATGCTTTCTGAGTTGTTATAAGATTTTGGTTAATTTTCAGAGTTCTGAAAAATTGATTCTGACAGTATCTTCCAGTGTTCTTGTTTCTTTTTTTTTAATTTTTAAAATGTTTATTCATCTTTGAGAGACAGAGACAGAGCATGAGTGGGGAAGGGGCAAAGAGAGGGAGACACAGAATCGGAAACAGGCTCCAGGCTCCGAGCTGTCAGCACAGAGCCCAATGCAGGGCTTGAACTCACGAACTGCGAGATCATGACCTGAGTCGAAGTTGGACGCTCAACCGACTGAGCCACCCAGGCGCCCGAACCAGTGTTCTTGTTTCTTATATAAAGGAGAGCACTTTCAGAGGGCCTTACTCTGCCATTTTCACTGACCCCCCTCCCATTATGGCTTCTTTTTAAAAACTTTTTAAAGTTTATTATTTTGAGAGAGAGAGAGACCCAGCACAAGCAGAGAAGGGGCAGAGAGAGGGAGACACAGAATCTGAAGCAGGCTGTAGGATCTGAGCTGTCAACGCAGGGCTTGAACCATGTTGCAGACCATGAGATCATGACCTGAGCTGAAGTTGGATGCTTAACAGACTAAGCCATTATGGCTTCTTGAACAGGAAAATTGATGGGGTAAAAACTAAACTTGAGGTCAAATACAGTGCCAGATCTGGCAAGGAATCTACATACTTAATACACAAATCTATAAGAAAAGTATTAAAATATAAAAATGAGCAACAAGCATGAAAAGATTAGTCATAGAACCAAAAGTACAGATGCATTAATAAAGTATAAAAAGGAGAAAGTTTGGCCTCAAAAAACTCAAATTAAAACTATCAAATCAACATTTTCACCATCAAATCAACAAGGACCAATTGTAATTATTACAATTCTCAGTATTTAGTATTGACAAAGGAGCAGTGAAATAAACATTCAAACACTGTTGGTCAGGAATATAAATTGGTACAGTCTTTCTGGAATATAATTTGGTAGTAATATCATGTCATTTAAAAATAGTATTATTTGAATACTTTCATTGTTATGTATATCTTTCCTGAGAAAAGAATAACATACTTGAAGATTTGTATACAAAGACATTCATTGCAGTGTTACATATAGTAGTGAAAAATTGGATTCAAAATAAATGTCCAACAATAGTAGAATGGTTGAATAATTTATAGTATATTCAACTTACTAGATTATTTCATAATCATTAAATACACTGTTTTAGAATTATTTAATGGCATTGAGAATGTGTAATAAGATGGTAAGTGAAAAAAAACCAAACTTTAGAAGGGGAAAAAGGAAGGAAAGCACACATATGCACACCCATAGTACATCAACTTATTAACAGTGGTGGTCTCTGGGTAGGTAGGATACAGGAGATTTAATTTCCTTCATACATTTCCATTCTTTCCAGATTCTATACATTAAGGGTTTATTACCTTCATAACAAGCTCTGTGGCCAAATGTAAAAGTAATGATCTGACATTTGTATGCAAGATAGATTACAAGGAGAAAGTTAGGGTGGAATGGAGAGGATAAAACAGATCAAAAAGACATTTTATAAGAAGAAACTAGGCTGTAAAGACACATTGGATGTGGCAGATAAAGGGTTTCGAGCATGATCAAAATTAGGATAGCAAAGAAGAGAATCCTGTTTAACGAGAAAAGGTGTTTAGTTTTGAACACAATTGAGGATGATTGATATTTAAGAGATGTTCTCTTGTAGGCAGTTGAAAATATAGATGAGGTTTGTTTCTCCAGTTTTAATATGTTCTTGAAAATTATGTTTTTCCAGATTTGCAATAATTAAGATACTTTATTCACTGAATTTAGTGTAAAATTATAGAGGTTTTGCTTATTTTGTTCTATATTCATATTACTGCTTCATTTTCTTTGAATTTACTGTATAAAGTAACTGATTGCAAATGTTAGCCAGACTTTACCTTGTTTTGCTTTAGACTGGCTCAGAGTGCTTATGTTTCCATTATGATTACTTTTCATAGTTTTTATTACTGAAACTAGGGTTTGAAAAAGAAATGTAATCATCACCCAGGCAGTATTTATTTATTTATTTTTCTGTCAATTTTAGGCAATGAACATTTTAACTTCAGTGTTGCTTCTGTATGCAAAAGAGGAAGAAGCTTTTTGGCTTCTGGTTGCTGTGTGTGAACGGATGTTGCCTGATTATTTTAACCGTCGAATCATTGGTAAACACACACACATACATAGCCCATATATAAGCACATATTTTTTTTCTGAACAATTTATATGTCTCTTGTAATTATGTACCAATTTATGTATCAAGTGGAAGAACTGATCAATTAGGTTTTGAAATACACAAAATGTAAGCAGTATCAAAATGTTACATTCACTGATATGCTCATGAGAAGAGCTTTTTGTACTGAATATATGATTGGAAAGTTTTTTTTAACTATGTTGCTTTTTTAAGATAAAATGCCTGGTCTGTTTCTTAATAAGAAATAGAAATTTTAAGTTGACTATCTCTGTATTGCTAAAACAGTGGTGATCTGAAGCATCCAGAGCTACTGGAACATTTTTAATAATTACTTAATGAGAGAGAGATTTTAACCAGCTTGAAATCTCTACATTTATATGAATTGTATTGATATTTTCAAGGTTTAAAAGAAGGGTCAAGTTCTTAGTTTGTTAATTGTATAATATTTTCTTCAGTCATCAAATATTTACAGATTTTGATACTCTACCTTAAAGCTGTAGGTGGTTTCTACTTTGTACACTCATACGCCTTCAGTATCATGGCTGGGTTATTGATTGCATTTCATTCTTTCATTATAGTTATTTGTGTATTGATCTGAAGTTCTACTAGATATTAAGCTCTTTGAAGATGAGGCTATTTCATTAATTGGAGTATCTCTTATGGTGCCTATTACAGGTTTCTGCAAAAGATTGAATAAATTACTGTTCAAATGAATTTGAACTGAGTTTCTCAAGTGCTTCTTGATTCATGACACTTTACTAGCAGATAAAGAGATGTGTGAAATATAGGAAAGGCACTGAAGAAGTTCATAATTGAAGGAATAGAAATGAGATATATTGGCATACTAGTAAGTGGGAAGGTATCAGAAGCAAATCCTTTTGAAGGGGATTCATTTTTAAACTTCTTTTTATGCTCACCAGGTGCCTTGGTGGATCAGGCAGTCTTTGAAGAACTTATCAGGGATCACTTTCCCCAACTTACAGAACGTATGACCGATATGACATTCTTTTCCTCAGTTTCTCTCTCATGGTTCCTCACACTTTTTATTAGTGTGCTGCCTATTGAAAGTGCAGTGAATGTGGTGGACTGTTTCTTCTATGATGGAATAAAGGCCATTTTACAACTGGGATTGGCAATACTTGACTATAATTTAGACAAACTGATCACATGTAAAGATGATGCTGAAGCTGTGACAACTTTAAACAGGTACTGTCAGAACTGTAACGTTTAAATCTGGAGAGCCCCTTGGAGATGATCTTGTTCAGTCCCTTTGTTTTGCAGATGAGGAAATAGCCCTAGAAGCTTTAAACAATTTGCCCAGTGTCACAAAGCTAGTTGTATGAAAAATCTAGGACTAATGTCCACTTCTCTGTTTCAAAATAAGATATAGTAAGAGCAGATCCCTCTGAAGTAAGTCACTTGGTAACATACACATTTACACTAATATTGTTGATTCAATACGCTGGGACTTTCATAGTCCCAGTTTGAGCTATAAAGTATTGTTGTGTAAAAGTAGTTTGAAGGGGGAAGAATAGTTGATAATGTTAAAAACCAGTGGGAGAGATCATTCTGGTTTTCAGGTAACTTCAGTCAGGTATACTGAGCCTTATTTTCCCAGTACTTTTTCTGTGAATGTTATTTTATATTGGAGCACTTTGTGTGTGTGTGTGTGTGTGTGCGCGCGCGCGCGTGCTCACGCGCACGTGCACATGCACACTATGTACGTATATGTTAAATGAATGGGTCACTATTGTAAGGGTGCATCAAATACCATTTTGTACAGAATAAAATATAAACACTCTGGCATTCAGAACACTCTACGTTAGGGCCTCAATGTATCTTTTTTATTTCTCCTTACGTGCCTCTACATACCCTGTATTCCATCCTTACTAGGCTATGTGGTATTTGCTGAGTACTCTCTGAGCCTATTTGCTTTCCTCATGCTCTCCTCTCTGCCTCTGAAATAATTTCTTCACCATCCCATTCCCCTCTCCCTTCTCTTCCTAATTACTAACCATCTTCAGATTCCACTTCTTCATAAGACCACCTTTTGTCCTATCAGTTGACATTAACCTCTAACTAGGGAGAAATTAGCTATCATTTTCTCTGCATTTTACTTCCACTAATTTTTGTATTACTGTCACTTTTGGATAGGTTCTTTGACAGTGTCACTAATAAGGATAGCCCATTGCCTTCAAGTGTTCAGCAGGGTTCAAATGTGAGTGATGAGAAAAGCAGTCTTATTAAAGTGGATATTACAGATTTGATTAGAGAGTCAAATGAGGTAAGTTTTTTTTATACCACAAATATAATTACATAGCATAGTTTAAATGATCAGTACTATAGTTATATCTCTAGTGGTATATCAAGAATAAGATAATAATACAACTAAAGATATAATTTAAAATCCAATTTCATTTGTTTATTTTATTGAGGTATAATTGACATACAATATTATATTAATTTCCTGTGTACAATACACTGATTCAACATTTGTATTGTATACATCGTGAACTGATCACTACAGTAAGTGTAGTTATCATCTGTCACCATACAAAGTTAATACAATATTATTGACTATATTCCCTATGCTGTACTTTATATCTCCATGGACTTACTTTATAACTGGAGCTTTGTATCTCTTGATCCCCCCATACCCATTTTTTCCCCCTCCAACTCCCCTCTCCTCTGGCAACTACTGCTCTGTTCTGTGCATCTATGAGTTTGGGTTTTGTTTATTTTTTAAATTCTACTTATAAGTGAAATCATGTAGTATTTGTCTTTCTCTGACTTATTTCACTTAGCATAATACCCTCAGGGTCCATCCATGTGTTGCAGATGGCAAGATTTCATTCTTTTTATGGCTGAGTAGTGCTCCATTGTATAAAAATGAGTTCTATCAACTCTTCCTAGGTCATATAGACTCACCTGCTTCAGTTTGCTATCTTTAAATGAAATGATTCTCACTTGCTTTCACAGATAATGACCACTTATAAATATCTATCACCATATAAAAAGGTGAAAATTCTTCTTAAGAGACTAAGAATTTTTCCAATGTTCTTATACATAGTCTAGATGCATAGTAGATTGAATTCTCTCCAGTAAATCTATAGAACAACTGAAACGTGGGAGGTGAAAATTTGCATAACCACTGAACAAGTTAGGAAAATAGCTAGAAATAGAACCAAGGCCTCTGAGAATTGAGTCTGATGAAATTCAGGTGTAAGAAAAGCAGATATTTATTATGAATGAGTATCTGCTGAAATCATTTTTTTTGCAGAAATATGGTAATATTCGCTATGAAGATATACACAGCTTGCGCTGTCGAAATAGGTTGTATGTCATACAGACCCTAGAGGAAACAACAAAGCAGAATGTGGTGAGTATCTGCCCTATGGGGGGAAAGCCAATTGGATTAACATTTTTTTCCAACTTCCTTTAAAAAATTAACATTCCATGTGAAGAAAATGAATATAACTAAACTTTTGAGCTAGATTCTTGCCACAGCTTAGCTTACTGTAAATTTGAGAGGAAGTAAGTTATTTTCTTCTAATGGAATTATTTTGATTTCTCCAGAGTGTTTTGTTATTTGACCTTTAATATTGAATGCTGTGATATAGGCATTTAAGCATAACATATTTTTGACGTGCTTCATCATTGCGAACAGCTGACCTACATAGTCAGTAGTCATTGCTGTTAATATATTTTATTATCCTTAGAAACCTAAGATAAGGTAAAAAAGCTATAAAACTGTGTTTCTAAGTACTCTCCTTTTTAATATTTGGATGTCTACATAAGAAGCTATTAATATTGGTTGTCTCTGGTTAATGGGATTAATAGATTGCTGGTTGGAAGAGGGAGAGTTTTACTTTGCTGTATATATCCTTCTGTACTGATTGAGCTTTTATCATAAGCATGTATTGTTTTTGTAAACTTACTTGCTTAATGGCCACATCCTCAGAGATACCAATCTGGGAAGATGAACATTTCTGAAGATTCTGGGTTTAGCTCTCAATTAAATAATTCAGTGATATTACTGTGACATAGCATAGAGCCCCCTTGTTTTGGGTTTTATATATTAACTTAAAAAATAAGTAATACATTTTCACTATTAATAACTTAAACATAACAGAAATGTAAAAACATAAAAGTTCCTTCCCTTCCCCTATGTTCATCTGTTTTGTTTCTTAAATTCCACATATGAGTGAAATGATATATCTTACTCTGACTGACTTATTTCACTTAGCATACTACCCTCTAATTCCATCCACATTGTTGCAAATAGCAAGATTTCATTCTTTTTGATTGCTGAGTAGTATTCCATTTTATATATATATATATATATAAATACATACATATACACACACACACACACACCACATCTTACACCATATCTTCTTTTTTTTTTTTTTATGAAATTTATTGTCAAATTGGTTTCCATACAACACCCAGTGTTCATCCCAAAAGGTGCCCTCCTCAATACCCATCACCCACCCTCTCCTCCCTCCCACCCCCCATCAACCCTCAGTTTGCTCTCAGTTCTCAACAGTCTCTTATGCTTTGGCTCTCTCCCACTCTAACCTCTTTTTTTTTTTT